TCCGCGGCGCCGCTTCCTTTCCCTGAGGAGAGGCGGTGGCGCCGCCTGCGCCCGTCGCTTTTTCCCCTCGAAAAATCAATCCCCGGTTCAAATCCCTGTTTTTTCGAAACGCTGCAAAACGTCTGCGGTCCACCACAGCAGGGCTGCGATTTTTTTTTTTTTTCTTTAAAACTATCGTGAAAAACTCCACAGTGAACGGAAGCAACTGCTTGCAAAAATAATGCCGTTAACAGTCACAATGTTTTAACACTATCTGCAAAAGACAGCCCCAAAATCTAATTTTAAATGATGCTTTTTATCACACGCCGGCAAGCGGTGGGCTAAGTGCTGGCTCATCGTTAGCCTTGCCAAGCAGCGCTTCAAGCACCCGTGTTAATTAGCTTTTTCGGCAACATTCAACAGCAAAGTCAAATTCTGCTATTCAAACACAATCAATAGAGAACGTGCACAAAAATCTGCAATTTAGCCAAAATCCGAGAACAGGTACCCGTCCCCAGCCGGGTTTGGAGATGACATGGGGAATTTACTTTGACACGTAGGGCTGAGCCCCTCAGAGACTCCAGCAGAAATCGGATCTATCACAGATCACCGCACCGGCTCATTATGTGCTCATCTTACACCTGCTCGCAGCTGAGAAACAGGAAAGCCCATGAAGATGTTCAACCAAAACCAAGCCTTTTATTTATTTTTTTTTAATAATGTTTGCTTTGCATTTAGGAGCAATCATAATTGATTGAAACACCCAAGTCTTCTCATCATAGAATCATAGAATCACAGAATGGTTAGGGTTGGAAGGAACCTCAAAGATCATCTAGTTCCAACCCCCCTGCCATGGCCAGGGACATCCTCCACTACACCAGGTTGCCCAAAGCCCCATCCAACCTGGCCTTGAACACTTCCAGGGATGGGGCAGCCACAGCTTCTCTGGGTAACCTGTTCCAGTGCCTCACCACCCTCAGAGAGAAGAATTTCTTCCTTATATCTAATCGAAATCTGCCCTCTTTCAGTTTAAATCCATTGCCCCTTGTCCTGTCACTACACGCCCTTGTAAAAAGTCCCTCTCCAGCTTTCCTGTAGGCCCCCTGTAAGTACTGGAAGGCTGCAATAAGATCACCCCGGAGCCTTCTCTTCTCCAGGCTGAACAGCCCCAACTCTCTCAGCCTGTCTCCATAGCAGAGGTGCTCCAGCCCTCAGATCATCTTCGTGGCCTCCTCTGGCCCCGCTCCAGCAGCTCCATGTCCTTCTTGTGCTGGGGACTCCAGAGCTGAACACAGTATTCCAGGTGGGGTCTCACCAGAGCAGAGCAGAGGGGCAGAATCCGCTCCCTCGACCTGCTGCCCACGCTGCTTTGGATGCAGCCCAGGACACGGTTGGCTTTCTGGGCTGCCAGCGCACATCACTGGCTCATGTTGAGCTTCTCATCAACCAACACCCCGAAGTCCTTTTCCCCCTGTGCTGCCCTCCATCCATTCTCCGCCCAGCCCTGTTATTTCTGACTGATAAGGGGAAGGCCAGAAAGGAAGTTAAACATCATGGTTTTGTGAAACTGATGGAAATTAACACCCCTCATTTCATCAGGACCAACATTTCATTCCTGAACTACCATCTCCTTTCACGATTTCTTTAAAGACTCTGGTACATTAGCTCTTTCACAATGGAAGTCTCCCTACATGCACGTTGCAAAGTTGATTTATCTTTGCCAGTTATAAACAACTTTAGATTTATTTCCAATATTACTTTGAGTGTCCTGTAATCCCCCTAGCCATTTGCTAAAGAAAGTTCTGTGCTCCGATAGTCTCAAAGTTAATCCATGTTCCCAATGAAAAATTTAAATATTATTTCTGAGTCAGCTGAGAGCAGTCCCCGCCCTGGCAGCAGCCCTTGAAAAATCTGGTGCTGGAAGCCATAAAAAGCGGGCTTTTCCACCATGACCTCCAGGTGACACCCGTCACAGTAATGATGCACTTTGGTACCAGCGTGCTCATCATTCGAATGTCTTCCCCTCGAGCAGTCCTGAGGAGCACACTCTGAAGGAAAAGATCGGTTTAATCCATTCAGTCCAGTTCCCCCCACAACCATACACGAAGCAAAGAGTCGGCGGTGTGCACTGACCTGAAAGCACGTACGGAGACTTCCTCTTTGAAATGTTGCTTCTTCCTCCCGGTCACCGGGTGAGTTCTCTGGCTGAGGCTGATACGGAGCAGACTGAGAACGGGAGAGAAGGGAAAAAAAGAGCACAGCAACAGAGGATATCCAGATACCCTGCTGAGATATCCAAAGGATGTCTGGAGGCATTAGGGACCAACCTGAGGAAATTCCTCAGCCAACCCCTCGGCGAATCTTCCAGGAGAGGCAGAGGATCACGGGTCTGCCGTTGTACTTCCAAGGTTATCTGTCTGTCCGGCACTCAAGATGCCAGGTAAGGTGCGCAGTCCCGGGAATTGGATGCGTTGAACTATTTTTTTCAAATCTGTATTGGTGGGAGCTACAAGCCTGCGATGGGAAACATTTCTCAGCATTGGCTGACGTGAATGGTTGCACCAAAATAGAGACACCAAGTTATTTCTGTTCACATTACTGGGGAGATGGTGTAAAATACATCACATAAGGTAACCATCAATATCTCCATTATAATTTACTGTTACCTACTGACACGTGGGATGCATTTGACTGATTTCATAGCTGCCACCGTGGTGAAAAGCCAATGCAATATTTTTAATACTAAGAGCAAACTTTGACATGGTTATATTGCTCTGACGCATCCCCTATTTACTGGAGAACAGCATCCATCCAGAAGTCTTCAGCGACACGCCACTAGAAGTACCTGTGAGATTCTCTAAATCTTTTTTTTTTTCTTGTTAGTAAGGTCTGATGATTTACCATATGTGGACTAACTGGGAAAATAAGAGTGATTTTTTTTTTTTTTTGACCCAAGATAGCTCAGACACAAATCTGTAAACACCTCAGTGCTTGTTTACGTTACAGTAGCATGTATGTTCAGAGCATGTCCCTAATCGAGCTGATTCATAGAATCATAGAATGGTTAGGGTTGGAAGGGACCTCAAAGATCATCTGATTGCCCTTTTTTAGCGCTCGACAATGACAATCCCTGTACTTAGGGTTACAAAGTGGTTTTCACCCTCCTTACACTCACATCTCTGTAAATGCAGAAGCGCAGAGTAGAGAAAATGAGAGTCACGCAGTGCTAAAGGCAGATATAATCACAAGAACAGAATAAGCATGGTGGTTGGCAAGTGGAGGACTGTCTCCCTTGGGAAGGGACCCCACGCTGCAGCAGGGCAAGAGAGTGAGGAGTCCTCCCCCTGAGGAGGAAGGAGCAGCAGAAACAATGTGTGATGAACTGACCTGCAGCCCCTATTCCCAGTCCCCCTGTGGGAGGAGGAGGTAGAGAACTTGGGAGTGAAGTTGAGCCCAGGAAGAAGGGAGGGGTGAGGGGAAGGTGTTTCTAAGATTTGGTTTTATTCCTCATTATCCTACTCTGATTTGATTGGTAACAAATTAAATTCATTTTTTCCCCAAGTTGAGTCTCCTTTGCCCGTTACCAAAACTGGTGAGAGATCCCTCCCTGTCCTTGTCTCGTCCCACGAGCCTTCCATTATATTTTCTCCTCTCCATCTCACGAGGAAGAGGAGTGTGCGAGCGGCCATGTAGTACTTAATTGCTGGCTGGGCCTAAACTGTGACACGCAGAAAATGAGAACTCCAAGAAACAAAAAGTAGACTAATAATCTTAGTATTAATGCTTCTGCAGTGCTAGAAATTATTTAACACATTGCCCTATTCTGTCTAGCAGGAGAACACCTGCAAGTTTAATAAAGCTCCTTGTTACATTCCTTTATTTATATCCCTTTATGTAAAACCTTTTTTTCCCCCTGAACAATCCATCCTTCTGAAATTCAGTAACTCCCATACTGGAACAACAAAAACTCACAGGGCAACGCAGTAACACGCAGCCAACCTGAAGAGACTTGTGTGGGACTGACCAGGTGTATTACCACGATTGCGAGACCAGACGCCTAAGAGAAAAACATACTCGTGGCTGTGAAACAGTAACAAGTGCTCCTGGGCAACTACTACGACTACATTTCCATGGAGCAGAAACTCCAGTTCCAAAATTTCCCATGCCATCCAGCCCCATACCACAGCAAGCAGCCTCAGCCTTCGTTAACTTCCCAGAGGCAGATGGTTTAAGAAGGACGTTTACCTTCACACAGCACTGGAGTGTTCCTAGGATGGGGCTCAGAGGCTGAATGCTATAGAAATTTTACACTAGTGATTTGACAGAAACCACCAGAAAGACCAGTTAGAAGCTACCAGGGTAAAGAGCAAGGATCACCTGCAGGATACTCCAGAGAAACGTCGCTTGCTTTTATTTGTATAACCTATCAGACTTCACAAGTTATTTCTTTTCTCAATTTTTGTGATGGTGTTTTAAACCCCCACCTCAAAAAACAAAACCAAACCCAACCCCAAAAACCAAGCAACAAACACAAAACAGGTAGTTAAACTGAAAACTAGAACAGAGTTTCTGTTTTACAGGAGTTACCTTCCCCTAACAGCTATAGTTCTCAGGGTATGGGGCACATGAAAACAGAAAAACCTTTCCCATCCCTCTGGCATGACTGCGTTAGGGAAGTTAGAAGAGTCTTTCAATGGTATTTACCTTGGCATGGTGTTGATTTACAAACATTACTAACAGAATTTAAAGACAAAGCGTGTAAAACAGCACTTCAAAAGCAAGAAATCCAGTTAATAGGTCAGACTACAATCCAGCTCCATGATCTCCTCCCTGTAGGAAGTAAACTGTCAGGGTCAAAACTCAATGCAAATAGGCACCTCAAGAGAATGGTGTTCAGAAGACTGGAGTCTTTACACATGTTCATCTCACACCATTTTCCACTTGTAGGCCTTTTAGGGAGAGCAAGATTTTAAAGTGGCATTTAAAATACATTTTCCTTCCATTACATATCCCCTTTAAATTATTTGACAAATTGTTGAAGAATGTTTAAAACATTTAAATTAGTTAAAAGTAAAGTCTTCTAGTTCCATGCCAGATTAGGATATTAGAAAACAAAGCCTAGATATATATAGCCTATAGAGAGAGATATATAACCTAGAGCCTATATATGTTTTTGCCTGTAAAGAATTATTTACTCAACTTTTTCTTGCATAAACTGCCTGCAAAAATACATACTTGCTCTTCAACCATCTTTAAAACACTGAAAACTAACGTATGACAACACAGTTTCTTCTTAGCAGTTCTTTCACTTTCAGCATTTTGTGGGAACTAAAAAGATCATTTTCACAAACTGACACTTCCTCTTTTCCAACAGGAATTTAGAGTGTATTGGACAGAACTCAGAGGAACTATGCTCTTCTTTTATGACGATAAGAAAGCCCCAACAGTGAGTAATGTGCTCTTTGTAACTACCTATCGGATTATGTGCATCAGTTATTTTCATCAAGTAATCCTTAGGTACTCCAGACACCTCTCGACACCCTTTCCTCTCTCATCTGCATAGTCACCAAAAAAATTGTATGGAACATTGTAACAGAAAGGCTGAGATCAAAGAAAGCCAGAAGGAAGCAAACTATAGTGCATTAATTTGCCTTATCAAAACAAAAAAGGAGTATTTTCTTGGCACCTGAGCTACAAACGTATCCACGTTGCTTCATAATTTTATTGAGTGCTTTTTCCTTGGCTGTGTACAAGGGTAAAATTATCCTGGTGTGTAACATGATTTTTCTTCATGCAGCTGAGGAAACAGTGCTTGGCATTATTATGGTATACTGTGGCTGAGAGTTTAGTTGGGCAGTCACCAAGCAAACACTCAGGGAGGTCTCGTGGATTTAATCTGTTTGGGATTATGAAGATTAGGATGGGAAAAATCCAGAAGGTAAGTTGTTTGTAAGAAGAGTTTATGTAAGCCGAAGGAAAAACTGAGCTTTGGCACATCTGTCAGTTAAACTTAACCCAAGTTCTAGCAAAAAAAAAAAAAAAAAAAAGGTTTAAATCTATTTTCTTCTAAACAAATTCCTTTGGATTTTTGGTGAAAATTACAACCTGTGCTATTTCTCTTTTCCCTTCCCCTTAGTACTCACAGAAATTAGATATATCAGCTTTGACCTCAGCAACCAACGTTTGTCCAGAGGAAAATGGCTCTGCACAGTTCATCCTGATGCTGCTGGATGGGGAACTAGAACTGAAGGTAAAAAGAAGCAAGCTGTGACTCGTAAGCCACTTGGTACTTTATCTCCCACAGATATTCAGAGCTCCATTTTGATGTGGGAAGTACAGCTGCCTTCTTGACATCTGAGTGCACAGCCTGCAGCCAGGCAGCACCAAAAGGCAGGCAGAGAGGGAAGCAGGGCAAAGGAGCCTCACACCAGGGAAACTGCCCCTCAGGGCCTGAAAAGTTTTTCTCAGGAGTACCTGGAAATATGAAAAGAGCAAAGAATTTAACAAGAAAACATAAAGGAGAAACCACAAAGTACCACACTGACAGGCCCATGTCACCTGTAAAACCAAGGAGATACATTATCTGACCACCCTGCCGTTCAGGAGCCACACAGACTGTAGTGCTCGGGGACTGTCTAGAAGGTTTTATACTTGAGACTCACCTCTCTCCTTAGCATAACCTTCTCCTTTCACTCCAACAGAGCTTTTAATTTTTCCACCTTCCCACCTCTGTCCTCTCCCCCAAATTTAACATGGAGTACTGGGGAAGTGCAGGGTTTCAGGGTGTGATGTAGCTTGGCAGGGAGCTCGTATACAAGCATGGTGCTTCCAAAGGGGTGAGAGTTATTTGAGGCTTCCATATGAAGTACCATACTTATTGTTGTTGCTGTAGTTGTTCTTACACTGTCCTTTTCTCTTCTCTCAGGCTAATGACTGTGAATGTGGGAAAGAATGGAAGGGTTTTATTCTCACTGTAACAAAGGTATGGAAGAGTTTTATACCTCCCTTCACATCAAAAGTGTCTACAAGGGGTTTTTGTCTTCATGCCACCAGAAGTTGGCTTCCACAGGCACAACGCCTCGCTTCTAAGGTGTTTGCACACACTAAACTGTTGAGAGTATTTGTTGTTTCTGTGTGTTTTTTTTTCTTGAGGAGGGCAAAATTCAGGCACATTTAATTCCAGCTCATCAGCAATACACATTCTGCCATGGAATGCAGTCAGCCACAGTTCCCAATCCACGGAAGAAAAAGACTTCTAGCCCAAGTCCTTCCCCTGCAGCTGTGAAAAAGGGAGCCTGCTCCGAGAGAAACAACTCGCTAGGTCTTTATCATGGGATAAAGACATAACCAAAGAAGTGACCAAACTGCACACCGGAGAGAACTCCTCAGCCCTGTGTTTTACTCTACTATTCTTAGCTAAACACACTTTGAAAATAGTAAGACCCTCTTTGATAATGACAGTGGAAAAATAAATGAAGTTTGTTCATAAATTACATTGGCCTAGCTGAATCACTTAAGAAGCCGAGGATGGCTGAAATAGGTTAAATGACATTTACACAGTCTTTTGCAGTATAGCAACTGCAAAATATCTTTGGGGATTCTCACATCATTCCATTTTCTGTCAATGCACATTCCTTCTAAATTAGGACACAGACATCCTTATTCCACTGTTCCAACAAAAACACCTGTGCAGCATTTTATTCAAAGCACAGGCATACCCAGACCTTCCAGATTATCACAGCTGCTTAAACCAAGCAGGTAAGAAAGATTTCTGCACAGCAGCTGCGCTCAGAGACAGTCTATGATGCGCACACAGAATCGATTGCTCATAATGTTTGTCCATTTTTTCATTTTCTTTCCAATTACGCTCTTAATTTCCAGATGTCAGTTCCACCAGATGAGTCGTTACTACCTGAACAACTTACGAGAATGCATGAAGTGCTGGAGAAGGAAAAGAAAAGAAGAACTATGGTTAAAAACTGTTCCAGCACATCCATGACCAGAAGCAGCTCTCCCAGCAGTACACTGACCACCATGCCAGTGTAAGCTCTGACTGAACTGTGTGAACCCCAGCCTGACTAAAGAGTCTTCCCTTCTTCTTTCAAAGTATCATTTCCAGGCAGAGGTTCAAAATTCAGCTGTTGTTCAAGGGTCGTATAATATTCAAGGAACAAAATCTACCTTAAGGCCTTTATAGAGATTTCCTAAGGGACAGATTACTCCTGCAGCTTTCTCACGATGCCTTTTGTTTTGAAAAGGCCAAGTGCAGCGTATTGCTATGCTTAAAAAGCTTTCCAGAAAGCCACATGTTGGGCTGCTTTATTTGCCCTTCCAAGAAAATGCTGATTACCATTGAGGAATTCAAGGAAAGTCCAGGTTACTCTTCTCCCATCCTTTCCAAGGGTCCAGAAAACATCATACTTGTATGAAAATTTCACTTTCGTTTTTTTACCAGTACAAGTTGGGGACTGAACTGCTGGGCAACAGCACAGGGGAAAGGGACCTGGGGGTCCTGGTGGACAGCAGGATGACCATGAGCCAGCAATGTGCCCTTGTGGCCAAGGCGGCCAGTGGCATCCTGGGGTTTATTAGAAGGGGTGTGGTTAGTAGGTCGAGAGAGGTTCTCCTCCCCCTCTACTCTGCCCTGGTGAGGCCGCATCTGGAGTATTGTGTCCAGTTCTGGGCCCCTCAGTTCAAGGACAAGGACAAGGAACTGCTGGAGAGAGTCCAGTGCAGGGCCACAAAGATGATGAAGGGAGTGGAGCATCTCCCTTATGAGGAAAGGCTGAGGGAGCTGGGTCTCTTTAGCTTGGAGGAGACTGAGGGGGGACCTCATTAATGTTTATAAATATGGAAAGGGTGACTGTCGTGAGGGTGGAGCCAAACTCTTCTCAGTGGCATCCAATGATAGGACAAGGGGAAATGGATATAAGCTGGAACACAGGAGGTTCCACTTAAACATGAGGAAGAACTTCTTCCCAATAAGGGTACTGGAACAGGCTGCCCAGAGAGGTTGTGGAGTCTCCTTCTCTGGAGATGTTCAAAACCCACCTGGACACGTTCTTGTGTGATCTGATCTAGGTGGTCCTGCTCCGGCAGGGGGATTGGACTAGATGATCCTTTGAGGTCCCTTCCAATCCCTGACATTCTGTGATTCTGCGAGAAGGCCAAAGCACTGCTGTCCTGAATTATGTTCCTATAGTAGCAGTAATCAGAAGGAGTCCTTCAGATGTCTTGCTTCTCGGCAGCCATGGCTCGTTGCCCTGGGTAAGCCCAGCGTTGTGAAGAGATGTGAGCCCGGTAGACTGTGTCTCTTCCCACAACTCAGAATGAGGTGGCCTTGCCAGCGTAACTCGCACTCATGACATTTCTCTCCTCTCTTCTGTGCAGGTGCTTCTATGCAGTATCTCGGCAACAAGCGACAGAGATGTTAGAAAAGAACCCTTCATGTGGGAATTTGATCCTGCGTCCCGGCAGCGAAAGCAAAAACTACGCAATCACTATCCGACACAAGCTGGAGTAGGTTGATTCCACAATGTATTATCCCATTTTTAACCAGTGTGCACTGTATTAAAAGCTGAATTCTTAGTACCCAGAGTTGACATATGAAACACAAGCCTTGCCTTCAGGCTATTTTGAGAAAGGCAAATGAGGCAGCAGGGGCAGGCTTGAGACTGATTTCTTGGTTCTCTCCTCTTCCAAAGCCAGTTAAACAAAGAAGTAACAAAGATCAGCCAGCAAAAGCCCATTTCCTTGGGTAAATGGGCTTTCCTTGTTTGCCATGAAACCCAACTCAGTTTAAGAAGTCATCACGCAGAATGAAAACGGGCCAAGCCGTACCCCTTTGTAAAATGAACAACAAAAAAGGAAAGAGATAAGTATTTTCAAACAGTAACTTAGTCTAAAAACATACCACATTTCAACTGAACTGCCCTGTTCTAGCTTTTGCACAGCTTCAGAAGACACCAGGAATGACATTTGCAATTAATTCTCAGTGTTTCTAAACTAAAAAGGGAAAAAACAAACCCTGCCATGCACCTTCAATAAGCTCTGGGGATATGACAAAGCACACCCATTGCTCCTGCAAAGGAATTCATAATGACAATGATACATGAAAAAATATTTCATTTCAGGCAGTATATCAACTATCATTTTCTTTCAGCTTCAAGCACTACAAAGTGGTATCCAAAGGAACGAGTTACATTATCGAATTGGAAAGACGGGTAAGTGAGGAACTCCCTTGTTGAAGATTCTTTAGCAGCTGTAAGAAATATCACTTTGCAGAAAATTAGAAAAGCTCTAGTAAATTCCTAACCATAATTCGTGAGTCAAAGTACGCAGAGAGTTCACCTCTCTTGTTAGTCCAACTAACCTAATCTCAAAGAACAAGTTATCTTTTAAGAACTAGAAAAGTAGGGGGGAAAAAAACCCCAAAACACATCAGCATCTTCTAACAAAAATAAAATCGAACCACTCACAAAACACCCAACATCGCTTAATTTTATTTTTTTTTTTTCAACTCAGGCTTCAGTATTAAGTCTGAAAGCTGAGCTCTCATTGCAGCTACAGGAAGTTCAAAATCCACTCCGTGTGACTTTGAGAACTATAATTAACTTAGTTGAAGTGTGAGCAAGGCCGCATGGACCCTGTTATTTGGTTTAAAACAGTTTTCTTTCACTTTTCTTAAGACATGTTTAACTCATGGCCTGAGAAACATCCTATTGGTTTGAAAAAGCATCTGCTATTTTACCATCTGCTGAAAGAGCACCATCAGTCATCGGAGAGTGCAATGGTGCATGGAGCTCTCTCGGTTTGTTTACTCACTGGATGGAAGGGAAGGAGTTCAAGGGTGAAACCATTAGCATAGATTGCAGAGGGCTGTCCTAGACTTGGCTGCATCCAAATCCAGTATCAGTTATTTGAGAAACATTGCTAGGGATCCCAGCCTGCCCACGTTTCTGAAAATGTATTCTTAACACATGTAGCATGTTTTGTTTGGTGGGGTTTCTTTGTTGTTGTTGTTTTGGTGAAACAGGTGACTCTCCCAAGCCTTCAGGATGTTGTCAACTACTTTGTGACCCAAACCCAAGGGCACCTGGAGCCGTTTGTCATACAGACAGGTGCTGCAGAGGACCCAGTGTTCAGAAAGCACGCTGGTTGCTGAAGGCACACACAGGAACGGTCCCGCTAAAAGAGCCACAAAAAGCAGAACTTCACGCTATTGAAGAT